TCGGGCCTGGTCGTGGACGGCGACACGGTCTTCACGATGCCTTGCAGATGTGGAAGGGTCCCCCACACCTGTGTCCATCGGCAAAGTCCCTGAAAAGAGCAATGGAAGCAGTAGAAGGATGAAGAGGATTGTGGGCGTGAACCTTCGTGCAGTCAATCGGCTGAGTCCGTTGTTGTTGGTTGCATACGTGTAACAAGTCAACTGCGGCTTGGAAAACAGCCCAAAACCATTAATCCATGGCCTCCATTTGGCTACAGACTGAGTGACGATACCAGTGGCCCAGCATATTATAGGTGAAGTCTGGGAAAACCAGAGATAATCGCTGCAGCATTTCTTGCCTGTCAGCCGGTCCAAATATCGCCCACATGTTCCACCAGTTAACAAACGATGAGTCATCCGACATGGATCGTTCGTAGCTACGCAGGAGGGACATAATGCTGCCCATAGGCAGATCAAGGCTCCTCCAGTGACGGAGCTTAATTTCCAGAGTGACCTGCAGAATCGTCCTATGCAGAGCATCAGGCAGGTAGTCCACACGGGAAACTTTATTGGCTCCGTGCCAGGTACAGAGATCCATGGCATGAGTGCAGGATACCCTGAAGCACCCTGAAGTGAGGGGAGATATAACAGGGGGGGACAAGGATGGAAGCCATACGGCTAGGCCTGAGAAAAGAGGGCCAAGAAACCGTACCACCCCCAGGGGGCCAAGTGAAGTCGAGCCGAGACGCTTCGTAGTAGTTGTAGTAGTAGTAGTAGTAGTAGTAGCAGCAGCAGCAGCAATAAACAATAGCAGTGGCACTAGTGGTAGTAGTCGTCGTCGTGGTTGTGGTACAAGTAGTAGTACTCGTTGTCGTCGTCCTGTCAATGGTCGTAATACCAGTAGCAGCAGCAGGAGCAGAGCAGTAACAGTTGCAGTAGAAGTGGCAGCAACAGTGTAACACTACACGAAAACTACCTGGTTCATCCCCGTCCGACCAGCATGATCGTCAACGACACTGGTATCCAGGAGCGACACGAGATAGGGATCCCCCGTACACACAAACTTCTAGCTGCCCTAGCCTGCCACAACTTCCCTGCCTAGCCAGGCCCACGGCGTCAGGGGTGCTAGAGCAACGGGGGCCAAGAGGAGCTCAAGGAGAGGTCGCAACCTCGCAAGATCATCAATAAGATCTCAGTTGTAATATTTAATATTGTCATGATGATATGGATAACGTGACTCGGTTCGAGTTATTCAGCAAGCAACAAGATCAGCTAGTTTTGAACCTTGGCTTCAAAACCTTCGGCAAAAGCTGCCCTTTCGATTGAGGACTGCACCTTCGGACCATGGCCACAGCCCATCTCACGATACTTCCGCTTGTTTCTGCGTGTCTCGGAGGGAAGTTACCAGAAGCTTACGGTGACGCCTTGAGAGAGGTCAAACTAAGGAGTGGCGGATGCACGAATCCCAAACTCGCAGACTTGTTGCAGGTGCCAGCGGCTGCCAGGTGCAACCTGATACGGCCAAATACGCTCCTCCCCAACATGACTGTGAGTCTGAGTGTACTCCACTATCGCTGGACAAGCAGAACAAGCTCTTTTATCCAATGCTTTGTGCTGCTGCCAGAGGTCAGCAGCATGGATAGGTTCACAGTCTACGCAAGCTGCACGAAACTCACCGTTGCATCGCTGCGGAGATCACTGTGGAAATCGTTTCGATGTCTGCCAAGTAGAATCCACCGTAGTATTCCCTTTAACCGTGGGTGTTCCGCAAGAACAGATTTCCAGAACAAAGGCTCTGCCATGTATGTCCGCAGCGAGGCACTGTTCAACCAATCAATGAATCAAGCAAATCGCTCGCGGCAAGGGCATGGCAGGTGGTGATCGACATGCCAAGATGGGTGCTGTCACGAGCAAAGGTATGATGAACTACCTGCCACGCGGCCACGCAGCACGAACAGCTTGGCAAAATTCCGCATTGCCAAGACTGCAGTGCCGGGCGAAAAGACATTCCAGCATAGCGTAGTATATCGCAGCATTAGCCTTCAGGTCTAAGTCGACACTGGTCCTGTCCAGTGCTGCACCAAAGCCCGCCGAAACACCATGCACGCTAAAGCATTCTTGACCACAACTGCGAGAAAACTACGAGCCTCCGTCTGCAGCTCAAGCTGCGTACTTTGCCTTCACACCTAAGTCTTGACACACGACAACACCAGAAGAATGGCAATGATAGCAGCAGAGGCAACGCAGGATTCAAACAGCTGCCGACTCGGAGCTTTTTGAGTTAACCTGCCCCTGCAAAGAGCTCCAGTTCACTTGCCTAGCTCAATCCCTTTACATGAGGGGGACTCACGCGCGTGCACATGTCAGACTGCCTGGGGGCGGCGGCGAGCACCGTGCATGCCCTTGCTAGCGCTTGATTTTCTGACCATGTTTGTTCATGTTTGCGCATGCGCGGATTTCACGCTGCTTTGCACGTGCAGTTCCAATCGAATCCATCTTTGTATATTTCCGATGCTTCCAGTTCTACTTCTGCACCCGATGGTTCTTGCTTGCGGTGTTCTCTACTTCTCATGAGATTATACTACATGTACTTTGAACTACAACGTCTTTCATCAAACCGGCTCTGGATTGCCTGTGGATCTACACTGTTCTGCGCTTCTCCGCAGACAATGATGTCGAGATTGTCGCCCTAGCAGCCGAAGTCCTCTCCAACTTGGGTTCTATCAACTTGTCTGGGATTCTGAGCGCGAGTGGTGCATCATGATTGCTTTGCGACCTTGTTGCACAAGGTCGAACACCCTCGCGACACCTGCTGCGGTCGAGGCCACGTTGTCGGGAAGTGCTTGGCGTCTGTCATTGGTTCTGTTCCTGCCCTGTGCTAACCAGGTGCAGGTGGGCCACCTGGTCGAAAAGAGAGAAATGCAACTGGGAGTGCTTTCAAGCACGAACCTTCGCGCAACACCGTAGCACATGGCAGGGCTTCCCCATGACCCACTGTTGCACGACCTGCAAAATACCCGGCGCTTCATGCACATTTCAAACGCGACATCCACCAAGCGCGGGAAGCCTAGTTGCAATGGGCGTGCGAGGAAAGGCTCTTCAAGCTCACTGTGCTTTGGTTCCTACTCATGGTTGGCGCTGGACGCTGGGCGACAGAGGACGTGGGGCTTCCGAGATCACATCTCCGGCAAACTTTGCATGCAAAACATGCGTTCCAGAAGCGTGTGGACGAGGATCCCAGCATGCCACGCATCGCGCAACCTCAAAAAAAAAGCGAGCCTTGCCGGGCTTGATGCTTCAGGTCATAGACTCTAGAGCTTCGAAGCCGAAGGACGCCCCGAACAGCAGTGACAAAACAGCCCAAGTGAAAGTTGCGAGGAAAGGCGCGCACTAAAACAATCATGTTGCGGTTCTGGCATTTTGGAGGATAGAGGAAAGGCTTCGAGTCTGCGGAGGTCTTGGCACGGCTTTATGACAGAGGCCAGCATGTGGCAGCGCCAGACAATGTCGAGTGTCTCGAGGTGGCTGTGCTCTCTCAGGTTAGTGTGCATGCTGGTAGTAGGCAGGCGAATTGGCTGTGAGACGCGCCCTACTCCTACTAGTACTCCCATTCAGGCTTAACAGGAATGGTTGCCAGCGAAGCCGGGGAGTGGCATTGTGATTTTCACCTGCGCATGGCATGCCGTGATAGAAGATCATTCATGTGCCTGCACAGTATGTCGAATACGGCTGTGAGCACGTATCATGTTGAAGTTTCCCACAATTGGTCGCAGAGCCAAACGCTAAGAAGGGTCGGCCATGTGATCAGACGACTTTTCAGCCCAACCCGTGGATTCTGGTGTTGACCAGGGCCATTGTCCATGCTAGTGATTCTTGATCTGGAACTAGGTGAGACGAATGGCTTGCTGCTTGCAACAGTCGCTGCAACTGGGTGCTCGGCAGGCACGCTGGAGTGTGCCCATTCCCTGACAAGCTCGAGCAGTTAGTTGGAGAAAGGCAGCTACCGCAGTCAAACCGCAAAATCTGCTGCCAAGCAAGCCTTCTCGAGGGACCTTGATGGCTCCAGGTGGCATACAAGGCAGTCCATTTTCAATGAGACGTGCGTTTAACGACCGTCAACCTGGACAATCTGAGAAATGCCGGGAAGCTGAATCATCGTGGCGACAGCCTCGTTGTGCTGTCCGTCTGATTCTCGCAAATGTCAGGTACTCTCTTCTTCAACTACGGCCCCAAGAGTTCAAACCTTTTAGGAGGTCACGTACAAACCAAAAAAGCAAAAAGCACAAGGTTTTCCCTGTGAGGAAGTAGGGGTAGTGACGGGGTAATGAGGCTGGCAGTCCCAAGTTTGCAAAAGCCTTGCTGAAGCCATTCTTCCCCTGATAAAAGGCCTTCATGCTAAATCTTGCTCCCAGCGTGATTGAACTGGAACTCTCAGCAGTGCATTCAAGAAACACTTCGCCGGCTGTCCGCCACCACAGGCATCTCACCATCACGGTTCTGAAGGGGTCAACGCATGAGAATACCAGTTACGGCCTTGCTACATCATGAAAAAAGTGGAATCGGCGGATCCGTGCGCGACAAGAGCTCCGATTCGGGGCAGTGTTGCTCTCTGTGAGTGACTATGAACCCGTACCTACGACACGAGGCTGCCATCAGAGCGAAAGACCCTGGAGTTCGGCAAATACCGTTGCAACTTCCACCACCACGGTCACCACGACCCCACTGTAAGAATGGCCTTCAACTTCGGCTCTTCACGCTGTCCGTTCATATCCTCAGAAGCGCAACATCCAGAGAGGCTGCAAAACATCGCGGGCGCGCCAGAGTGGCTGATCGTTCTGAGGGGCGGTCGTTCACCAACATTCCCTGGGCTGCTTCAGCTCGGCTCAGCTAGAATGTGCAGATCGTCGGAACCCGGCCCCACACCTAGAAGACTCTTAGCAGGTGTTTTGTGAGAGCAGCAGTGGTTGCGTTTCGTAGCGATTTGTTGGAAATTGAAATCTGAAGATGTTAGAAGATAGCTCTCAAGGATCAATGACCGTCGGCTCGATCATGCTCTTCTCAGTTGCCAAGCGGTGCAACTCCTCCCCATCTCGCCTCAGGCCAGTAGCCATCGGAGTCTTTAGTATTTCATTCATCCACGCGAACTTGCTGCCAAGGTTCCGGATGCTCGCCACAACAAAGCCAGTTGTCTGGTCCAGAATCCCGAACATCTGCGCCCTGAGCTTGCAGCCGGACACCATTATGGTGGCATGCCTCCTTCTGAAACTCTCAAAAGGCGTTTTGATTGAAGATCAGTCGCTTCAGACGATGGTAGCACGGAAGGGCATCCAGAAGCAAACCCTTGTCATCCTCCAGGACGCGGTTGATCCTGGGGATCCACGTCTCTCCAGGCAGATGATTTTCAACTGAGCAAGAACTTTCAACGGCGAAGCGACAACTTCCAAAATGCACCTACAATTGAAACTCTTCTCGCAGAACAGCATGTGCACCGCATCGGCTACAGCCAACCCTTAGAAAGACTTTGTTCCGCCTTACGCTGAACCCTAAAGCCCTAAACCCTACACAGTCGGGCAGCTTATTCAACTCTGCGAAGAAAGTCTCGTAGGCCGCCTCGGGGTGACATGCATCTTGGGCGGAAGTTTTTTGAGATCCCTCACCAGTACCCTTTAGGGTTTAGGGTTTAGGGTTAATTAATGGTGTCCACTGCTTGTCACACTAAATCGCCAAATGCAGCAAGCGACGATGACCGTTTCATAGAGGGTGTTGTTGAATGTCGGGCGCCAAAACCTGACATACATATGCACAGGACATGTATGCTCAACCTACATTTGTGTGTGCGGGTAGTGAATCCACATACACATAAACATAAACGGGTATCTACATACATCTACATGCGCACTGATGCAAACAGTCCTACCTATGCTTGACATGCGCGTGCAGACATGAACCTTTGTAGATCTGCGGGGTCAACATCTTATATACATATATGTATGTAGGTGTAGGTGCAGGTGTGTAGGGGTGTAGGTGTGTAGGTGTGTAGGTGTGTAGGTGTGTAGGTGTGTAGCTGTGTAGGTGTGTAGGTGTGTAGGTGTGTAGGTAGGTAGGTAGGTAGGTAGGTAGGTAGGTAGGTAAGTAGGTAGGTAGGTAGGTAGGTAGGTCGGTCGGTCGGTCGGTCGGTCGGTCGGTCCATCGGTCGGTCGGTCGGTGGGTGGGTGGGTGGGTCGGGTAGGTAGGTAGGTAGGCAGGTAGGCAGGTAGGTAGGGAGG